TAATAATAATTAAGTAGAGCTTTATAAGCCAAGTCTAAAATATACATGGAAAAAATACAAAATTATATACATATTATAGTTATAACCATATAAAATGAGCTTTTTACGAGTTATGAAGGAAATAAAGTAAAACTTGATAGTAATTATATCACATCATAAAATTATGGGTTTTTACCTTTCATATATAACTCGTATAACTTATTAACATTTAAAAAATATATTTGTTCTTCCCCTTCAAATGCTATTTTGTTATCATTGTCATTAAGCTTTCACCTTCTGATGTCGTGAGAAAAATGGTATTCAAAAGAAAATATGTAATGGAATAGTTTTGGGGAGCCTGTGTGCTGTATTCCTCAGTTGTTCCACTAAAGTTTTGGTTCTTCCAAGGAGCTGATTTAGACCGTCTCTTTCATATTGACTGTAAACCCTACCTTGTTTCCATTTCCGCAGGGTTATATCACTCCGATGGATTTTATTTGGCTAAAGCATCTGATTCCAGATGTTTTGCAGAATAACAAGGACTGTCTCTTTGGGAACATTAAAGAACTTTACGAATTTCACAACAGGTACATAGTGATTCCTATTATGAGGAAATGTGGAAAGCAGGAGTGAGAATCAGACTGATGGGATTTGGACCTGAAAATGTTTGGCCAGGTTTGGCTTGGGCAAGAGGGTAGGTTTGGGTGAGGGTGGGGAAGAGGAAATAAATGCCACAAAGTCCCTGAGGAAGATGAGGGAAGGCGTGCAGGGGTGCGTGCTGGGTGTCACACAGCTGTGCTGTGTCGGTCGTGTGTCCCTCTGCTGTTTATTTAATGTGTGCATCCAGATTTACCGAGCATCTATTCTGTGCCAGGGACTGTGCCTGGCATTAGAAATACAAAGATGACCCAGACACCTGCCCACGTACCTGTTAACCTGGGGTGGCACTGGGCATCAGAAATGCTCGCTGCCCAAACAAGTTGCCCCTTCGGCCCAGGGCTGCCTGGTCGGACACAAAACTGAGGTGGAATCTGATTTCTGCTGCTTTCCCCAGTGAAGTAGTTCAGCCTCTTAGAGCCTCGGGTTTTACATGAATGAAACCTTGGTTTGCAGGGATTGGTTGAGGGTTAAAGGAGATGTATGTGAAGCACTTAGCTTATGCCTGACTCATCTTTAACCTTCAGGGACATTAATGACAGCAGCTGTGGTGTCCACGGGCGGTTAACTGTTAGCACTGGTGCATCCTGTCTATCTCTGGCTGGTGCCCAGAATGACCAGCACAGCCACAAACAGCTTCCTAGGCACCACAGTTATGCTCAGGATGCATTGTCTTTTTCCCTAATCCACATGTAGATGATTCAAGAGCGATAAAGCCTGGAGCATTTTTCTAGCTACTTCTTGAAACTTCATGTGATTTTTACTTAAGAAGTTTTAAACCCATACATATATTTTAAAAATCAAGACATTACTGTGTCATATTTTTACTTCCCTAGGACTTTTCTAAAAGAATTGGAAAAGTGTGTGGAAAACCCTGAACTTCTGGCATGCTGTTTTCTCAAGAGAGTAAGTCTGTACTCCCAACAAACCCAAAATAAAGTCAGTCTTTATTTTTCTGTGTAAATGGCAAGGACAAACAGAGACCCCAAAAGTGGAAAAGCATCCCTGCTTTGTTGACATATAATTAACAAATGAAAATTGTATATATTCAAGGTGTACACATGATGACTTGATTTAGGAATTCACTGGAAAATGACTATCACAATCGAGTTAATTAATATATTTGTCATCTCGCATAGTTATCACGGGCGTGAGTATGTGTATGATGTGATAAAGTTGAACTCACAGAAGCATAGATTACAAAATGTCTTGGTTACTTTTTTTACTCATTACTGAGACAAAAAAAAAAAAAGACACCCAACATTAAAAGAGGAAAAGTTTATTTGGGCTCAAAGTTTGTAAAGGTTTCAGTCCACGGCAGAAGGCATGGCAGAGGAGAAACAGTCCGTGGCAGGGTAGGCAGGAGGAGGCAAAACAAAAAGCAGCAGCAGCAGCAACAGCCTGCTTTCTTTCTGTCCCTTTTCATTCCATCCAGGCCACAGTCCTATTGACTGGTGCCACTCATGCCCAGGGTTGGGCTTCCGTTATCCATGCCCTTAGTCCCCGCATCACACCCTTCATCCACATTCACACACCCTAGACCCAGCCACCTCTGAAAAGCCTCCTCTATGAGCAAATGAGGCTTTGGAGGGACATCTAAATACAACCCATAACCAAAGGGTTGATTGTGAGTATCTGAGGGTCAAAGAAATGGGGAGATGCTAGTCAAAGGGAACAAAGTTTCAATTATAAATTCCAGAGATGTAATGCATGGTGTAGTTAATAATATTGCATTGTATACTTGGAATCTGCTAAGGGTGGTTCTTCCACCTGCCCTTGAGATGCAGCCAGGAGTCCTTCACGGCGCCAGTGGCCTCCCCACTACCCCTCACTTTGTCCAGTGTGAGAATGAGTCGGGTTTGATGGTGCTCACACCAATGGTGGGAACACTTACCCGCCTGCCTCCCGCCAGGCCCATGGGATGATGGAAGGTGGAACACCTGGGTCCCCAGAGTTGGTATTCCTCTGTGGAATGGTGGACTAAGTTTAGTAATGCTCTCAAGAGGAGAAATTTTGGTGTTAAATTGAAAATCTCAGAAATATTTTCTTCCATTTTACAGAACAGAGGATGATTACCACTTTTTAAATCTGTAGATTTTTTTTTTTTTTGAGACTGGGTCTTGGTGTGTAGTCCAGGCTGGTCTTGAACTCATGGTGATCCTCTTGCCTCAGCCCCGGAGTACTGGGATTATAGGCATGCACCACCGTGCCCGGCTCTATGGGCTTTCTTATGCTTAGCAGCCAGTTCACACACTTCCTGTCTTACAACAACATGCCTCTACTTACCTCCCCTCCCCACCATCTGGAGCTCCCCCCACACCACCTGTCTCTGTACCCTTCTTTGGGGCAGGGAGCCTCTTACACAGCATCTTCCCCACCACACATTTTCTTGCTCCTGATCTGGTGTCCTCTTGGTCTTTCCTAATTCTTCTCTTTCCCAACAAACCCTAACTCTCAATGTTCTTTCTTGTGGACTGAAACCTTTACAAACTTTGAGCCCAAATAAACTTTTCCTCTTTTAATGTTGGTGAGCCCAAGACAACAGATAGACAATTTAAAATTTTTGAGACACCCAAATGGTGGCTTGGGCCAAGGATTAGGTCAGTGGTTCTGCTGCCTGCCTCGCAAGCGCAAGATACCAAAAAAAAATCCCAGGTACCAAAAAAAAAGAAAAAGGCTGAAGCCAGGCATGCTGGCCCACACCTGTAATCCCAGCACTTGGGATGCTGAGGCAGGAGGATGGCCAAGAGTTTGAAGCCAGCCTGGGCTATATAGTGAGTTCAAAGCCAATCTAAACTACACAGTGAGACTCTGCCTCAAAAAACCACAAAACTTAATAAATAAATAAAACAACCAAATGTTAGCTGCCCCATGTGAGGGCAGTACATGTATAAGCTACAGGTGAGCGGACAAAACTTTGCAGGCTTCCAGGTACTGGATATAGAGAAAAGACTGAGTCCTCCATGAGCCAGTCTGAGCTTCCCAACCCAGCTTTCCCTGGGCTTCCCCTCAAGTGCCAGAATCGAAGCCACGCTCAAGGTTGTTTCCTCCTCATGGGAGTCTTTGTCCTTTCTGAGTTGCAAGTGCAGCATTGTCAGTGTGTTGTACTGTTTTGCACATTTGCACTCATTACACCCCTCATGGGGACATCTAGTTTCAGAATGCAGCAGCATTTTATGGTTGCTCACATCGTTCTTGCAAAGATTATTTAAATTCTTGAATGAGAAGAGAGCCAGATTCCTGTGGGAAGAGATGGATGCAATTAAAACTCATTCACAACCGGGGATTTAGCTCAGTGGTGCCTCTGCCTGCCTCGCAAGCGCAAGGACCAGAGTTAGATCCCCAGTACAAAAAAAAAACTCATTCATGTCTGAGGAAATGGTCAGGGAATTGCTGATTAAATATTTTTCCTGGAATGAATTCTTTTTCTAAAGTTTTGTGAAGTTTTTATGCTGGTTCTCGTTGGGAGGGACTTAGGAAATCATTTGGACTGCAAAATTCTCATCTAGTCTTATATAAGTTATAATATTGGAGACAAAATGCAGCAATAAATTCCTACCAAGCACAAAGGTTTTCTCTGGGATGGAGTCTAAAACCCCAATTATCTGACCATCTTGGGCAGGAAGGAGTCGGCCTCCGCAGTGTGGACGCCTCTCAGTTTGTGGATGAGGCAGCCTTCCCACCATCCTCTGGGGCCGTTTACCTCCTCGCTGAAGTCTGCACAGCCCACTCATCTGGGGAACAAATTCTGAAATATTCTTCAACCGAGCATGTAACTCACACTCTGGAGCCTCTCTCATCCGGGGAGATTGTCTCCCAGAGCCCTGCTCTGTGCAGAAGTCCTTGTCCAGACTTTAGCTGGTGTTCCAGTCGCCCTGAGATTTCACTTGGTAAAATGGAAGAATAAAATGCTGGAATAAGGTTCATCACATGTAACCTTTCGTTTGTTTGTTTGTTTTGGAGAAGAAGGTCAGTACTAGGGAGTGAACCCAGGACCTTCACACTGAACTACATCCCCAGCCCTTTCTAAAGTTTAAAATTTTGA